ACTTTCACAAGGCAATACATATATTAATTTAAATACCAAACATGTTTTTTTATTTTCTTTTTCAATAATGAACATAATTATGACAACCAGTTTAATTTATGTAACTAGTTACTTAAAGTAGGTATGGATTATTTGGACACTTTAGATTACAAAAAATGTTACTTTGTAAGACAAATTAGAAGAAAATTTTTATTAAATACTAAGAATAAATGTCAGATAGGCTCAATGCAAAAAAAAACATATTCAACAAACATTTCAATTTCTAAGATTAATTATATTAATTAATAAGTGAAATAAAAAAATCATTATTCAATGCGGAAAAAAGAATTGAAATCAAGTATTTTTTTGACTCAATGATGAATAATATACGAATAACATTTTAAGTTAAACAATATATCTCCGTCTATGGGCGGTAAATGAAAGAGGTCGATTTGTTGATGTTTTTAGCTAGTTGACTTCCTGCTAACAATTCGTTTTGTACACCAATTTTTTTTCAAGTACTTCAAGCAGTGGCCGACCTTTTTTGCATTTGCGGTATTCCTTTATATTTACCTTATTGTTTAATACAACTTATGTGCCTAGATCATTTTATCTATTTATCTCTTTTTAACAAAATTCTTATATGACTAACTAAATTCGAGCTATATGGCGTTACCGCTTTGAAACCGAGGATACAATTTTCTTCAACAAAAAATATGTTTTTTGTTTTCGGCATGTCATGAAACAAACCGCTAAAGGAACAACGCAAATCACACGGAATACTAAATTTAAACAATAGTATACTAAAATACATTAATGTATATACCAGGTGTCCCATATGTTTCTGGATAACTGTTAAAAGGGATAAAAGTGTTTTACCTGATGAACCCAAATCAACCTCTTATAAAACTACCCGCTAGAAACCACCATTATCATTTATGTTTCAAACCACGCCACCACACTTTTTTTTAATGTGATACATGTTTCGCTTCATGTCAACGATATTATACGATGTATTGGTCAAAATTGTAAATAACCTGTTTCTAACGTGTGCGTGGTTTGACAAGCGGTTGATTTAAACTACCGCCTACAAAAATAAAATTTGTATTACATAGTAAAATATTTCCATTGTTAAGTCAGCCTTTTTTTTACCATTTTGACCATATAAATACAGTAGGGTGGCCCAAAAAAACGACTATTTTTTTAATTTAAGTCTCCTATGAAAATATGTTAGTTTATCATGTTTTAAGAGCCGCCTCCAAAGGACAGCTCAAAAAAAAATTTTTAAAGGGTCGCTCCGAATTTTTAAAAAAGTCCAAAATCGTCGAAAACCGGATTTTTTTGTTTTAAATTTTTTTCTCATTATTCTATTTTTTTTCTCTAAGAAAAATCATAAAGATCCTGAAAATTTCAAGTCGAAATTTTAATATTGAAAGGTCGCTTCGAATTTTTCTAAAGTTTCAAATCGAGTACTTTATATCTTTTCGAGCTACTTTTGAACATGAATATTAACGAACTTTATATTTTTTTAAAATGAGGTATGACATGATCACTCATTTCATTTAAAAATGAAAAGGCAGTAGTTGTCAGTTCAAGGGGTTTGAAGAAGTAGGTACCTATACAATTAATTGAAATACTGTCGCATTCAAAAATAAAAATTTACGTTAGAGGATTTTCTTTAAAAATTAATTATTAATGAGACAGAAAATGTATCCCTTTGTCCTCACTGTATATTGGTAGGCAACAGAAATAAGTACATTCATTTTAACCGTCCAAAATAGTTATTTGTTGTAGTAAGGCCGTAAAGTTGATCTTTTTTGGCTGAATTATAAATTTGCAACTTCTGGTTAGGATAAAAATTATCATACGGCCAAGGTGCACACAACATTTTTTAGGCGACTCTCACATCAAGTAGAGCCAATATTTTTTTACAATCTTGTTTTTAATAAGAGGCTTAAATGCAAGAATTGTTTCAACTTTTTATTGATCGAATAAAAATCCATCGTTAACTAATAAAATTTACACAGAAGAATTACTAACGATACGTAGGTATAAGTATTTTTCGGATTTCTATTTGCGATTCCTCGATAATAAATTCACAATTTTTAAAAAGTTAGTTATTTTAAATAAAAATCCAGTACCTAATTAATAGATAGATAGATCGTTTATTGACATTCCATACAAAGTATAGTTATAGTCAGTACAAAAATATGTAAATAGTTTAAATAAGATTATTAAAAGTCAGAATATAAAATTAAAAATGTTAAAAATTAAAGCAATACATAGAAATAAATACAAATTATTAAATTAAAAATGTTTAAACATGACACATATAAGACAACAAACATATTAAAATTTAAGAATCTAAAAAAGGATAAATCAAAGTGTACCATAATGACATTAATTAATAGTAACGTTAATTAATAGTAATTAACTGGACATTTTATTCATAAACTCTTTAAATTCCAGAACGCTATAGAAACATTCCTCTAAGAGTATTTTTTTCATATAATTGTAGAATTTGTTGCAAGACATTTCTTTAAGCTTTAAATTTTTATAGTGCTTTAACACAAGGTTATACAAATTTATATTAAGTTTGTTATTTTGACTGCAAAAAATTCTAGATTTAAAAGGAACAAGACCCTCAGCATTCCTTGTATTGTAATAATAATAATAATAATAATACCTAATTCTAATTTTTCTCGAACTGTTTTTAAGAAAATTAAAAAAAATCATGGCACACCTCCGTGAAATAAAACGAGAAAATCTAAAAAGAAATCATTTCAAAATACTTAATACGCAAGCCATTTTAGCTATCTATATTACCTAAATAATAATAATAAAAAAAAATAAACAGTCAACCGCCCGACAAATTAATGGCCCATCCAACATACAAATCATTTTCTAACGATTACGTATAAAAGGTAATTATGTGGATGTGAATTTACAAATACAGCGTGCAAAGAACGAATTGTCAGTGTTGCCAAGATTAAATTCCCTGTGTATTTGAAACCCACGTTAATTCGTCTTCTGTTTGCAGTTTAGACATATCAAAACTTTACTCCGAATGGTGTACATGTTGAATGATCGAAAATGGTTGGTAACGATTCCACTTGCTTGTTTTTAGATCTATCGACGAGTGCCTGAACTAAAATGTTGGTAAAACAGGGTCTGGCGCGTATATTATTTAAAATTTCAGCTTGTATTTTATTTCTCAATTTTCTCCGTTATTACATTGATTTGAGAATTGGTTTCAAGGTAATTGTATTTGATTATTAATAGAGTATTTGCTTGACCCCTTGAAAAAATCATATTACATTTTTTTATAATTGCTTAAACTTTTATTTTTATTATTATCAAAGTTACATTATTTATATTGGCGTCAGCAACTGCTCTGATTTATTTCAAAAACGTCTACAAAATCTTAGCTCTTTAATTTGTATAGTTTTCAAATTTATTAGAAAATAAAATTAAACGCAATTAAACTCTCACCTTAAGCTTAACACTTAACACTAAACAAATGAAAATCGGATAAGAACATATGAGTTTTTTACATTATTTTCACGTGTATAATATACTCCTAGAGTTTGGTGCGCTCCTCCCGACTCACCCTGTATATTATGACCGGCCGAAAAGCACGTTTAAAGCAAAAAAAATAATTTAATGGTATTGTCCTCAGTTAACAATAATTAAATTCCAGTTATTTTGAATTCGTTTCTCAGTAGATGTAGGTATTTATTTTGTGACTGATTACTTAACAAACAATGATTTAATGTTATTGCCCTAAGCTAGTTTTATCTCTAATGAATGTAAATAGAAATTCATTCATAAATTCAGTAGGTATGCACATTGCCTTTAATCCGATTAATTTCATCTTTAAACCATTATTTACTAATTGTAAAGTACATTCATGAGCAAAAGTATTGATTTATTTCATATTTAAAAAAAGTACAATTATGAGCAAAAGTATTCACAAACAAATTTCAAAACAAATGTAGGATTTTAGTGGTGTCCTGTTTGTAACTGAATTTCTTTGTTTAAAAAAAAGGGGGCCAAAGGGGTACAGAACCCTTCTAAAAGCCTATAGAATTAAAACTACATTAAACTCCACTAACTACATTTTATTGATCACTATATACTTACATCCCATGTATATTTTTATAAAAATATTTTAAGCCGTTTAGGAGTAAGAGCAAAAAATCACTTCTAAAATTTCTACTTTAACACCCTGTATCTTTTTTACTATAGTTGTTATTATAAAGCTAATTGGTATTTTAAAATAAAATGTAGACTAATCTGAATATTTTAGTTAAACATTTAATACTCAAACTCATTAATATTAAATGATAATTAAAATATCAAAAATAAATTATCCTGTTTTTAACACTCATATTTAACATGTCTTGTTGGTGTAGATCCTAGCGCGTTTGACTTTGAACCTGATGATCGTGAATTCAATCCTCACCAGTTATTTATTTATTTTTTTTAAATTTATTTTTTGTTTGTAAAATTAAATAAATCTTCGTTTGCTGGTCAAGTTAGCCGTGTCTGTCAAATTAACGTAGTAAGATTTGAATTCGTCAAAATAAAACTATATACTTTTAATATCCTGTGATCGTAGAAAAAATCTTGTGAGTAATTCGAGCGGAAAGCTATTTGTCGCTTACGATAAAATGTCGCACTCCGCCGCGCGTCACGCGGCAACTTTTTATCTTAAACGGCAAAGTAGCACTTTCCGCTCCTAATACACAAGTAGCTATTGTTTTGGATTGCTTCTGAAATATAAGTTAGCTTCCCTAATGGAATCACTCGTACTTATCTTGGACTTAAAGTGTTGATGTAGCCTTAAAATTATTTCTTTTTAAATATTAATTCTTTTTTCTTTTAATTTTTTTAATTAAACATTATAAAAAATATATTTTACGGGTCAAAATGGTTAGAAAACATTCAGTAGCGCGCGCCAAATCTTTAACGGCCGTGAAATATTAAAAAAAGTATAGTAAAAACAGTTTCGCTCTTACCTGTAATCTTCTAGGTGGTATCTCCCCCTTTATTTTCAAATATCTAATAGTTTTCCTAACTTTGAATCCCCTGCAATGCGCCTGGAACACTATGAGCGAGACTTTCAACTTCTGTGCCCAACTTCTGCACTTGAAGCCCCGCCAGTACTTCTGAATCTTCAGTGTCGCTTGGAGTCTTCTTACATATTTTTGAACCAAGTACATCCTAAAAATAAAATATTGGGAAACCGATAGTTTTATTTAAAACAAAATGTACAATTATAAAAAATGTTAAATCAACTTTTTCATGGCCTCGATAACCAAATATTTTATTAAAACGAAAAATCAGATTTATACCTGCAATACGACTGAAGAGTTATCACAGCAGTTTTAATTCTCAAAAATCGCCTCCTTTCCAAACATGCTCTGAACCACCTCTGCAATGTCACAATGCTTGCCATGATCTGCTGATGAAGTTTGCAGTCTAACTTGTACTTCTCGCTTTCTCTCATAAACACCTTTAAAATGAAAATATTTTTTTTTTATATTTTCAAAAAAAAAAAAAAAAAACCCTGGCTCATATTTGTTGACATATCAAAACAACAACATAATATTAATAAATACATAGGAATGTTTTTGAATTCTGTTATAGAATAAAAATGCTTCTTACCTTAGTACTTCCTAACTGATAGTTATCCCTATTCAAATTGAGCGTTGACAAAAAGTCCCTGACATCTATCTGCGAACTTAACAGGCCTTTTGGCAATAAGATCCTGTAGAGTTGGATGAATTCGTCGTAAGTCAACCTGACATTGAAACCTGCTTGTCGTATTCTAACCGTTTCCAGCATTCCCGTATACCTTAGTTGTCTTTGTACTGTTGCTTCGTCGAATGTATTTGGTATTTTATTGCCTAAAGAAAAATATGAAATAAATTGTAATGCTGGAATCAGAATTAAATAAAGATTTAAACAAATGAGATAAAGTATTCTATTTTAATAGAACACATTTAAAATGTTATGAAAATTAAAATTTTTAATATTTCTTTTTTTCTCAAGTTCATCAGTTCTAATCTAATAAAAAATATATTTCAATAGAATAGGTGTTTAAAATATTTTTCAAACGAGGTGTCACTTGTAATAAGATCCCTTTTCAAATTAGTGTTCAAAATGACAACACCAATTAGCAGTAGAAAAGTTGAATATCAGTCTAAATACTCCAAACTTTATAAATACATGATCTAAGCGTTCAACATATATACAGGGTAGCTAAAAAGTCTGGCAACAAGGTATTTTCTTTTAAACGAATGAATGTATAATTATGAAATTGTAGGATGATGAATAGGACCGTATTTTGCATTTTTTAGAGGTCACGTCAAATTTATATGAGTTTTGCGTACCGCCACCATTTTATATCAGAGAAAAGCTTATATTTTCCTCTTTTCAAGAACACTAAAAAACGTCCAAGTGCGAGTCGGACTCGCGCATGAAGGATTCAGCTTCATTGTACAAGATTTAATACTATGTAGGTACTTTTTAAATACGTCATTAAGATAAAGCAAAAAAACAAAAAAAAAACACGTTTCTAGTAGGAGAGCCCCTTTAATTTTTCATTTATTTTTATTATTTGTTGTTATAGTGGCAACAGAAATACACATTCTGTGAAAATTTCAACTGTCTGCCTATTACGATTCATGAGATACATCTCGCTGAGGCACTCTGACAGTGGAGGCTTAATAATATTGTCCCGTTGGTTTCCCTTCAGGTACGGAACAATAAAAAGTAACATATTACTAATGAAAAACCGTATATATAACATTGCAGTTCTATTAATCTGCTTTTATTTTTTACTCTTCTTGATTCACAACTAGTAGAGATAGTTAATCTGGTCCAATAGTGTGTGGAAGCCCAATAACGCAAACATGTCAAAAACAAAAGTGTTATGGTTTGCAAAGGCGCCTAATATGAAAATATTCTTCAATATACAGGGTGCCCCGAAAAAGAAGGCAACATAAACATTTTTATTTTCGAATTCTACTAAAAAAAGTAGCACCCAAACGCTTGAAGTTAGGGTAAAACTTTGTAGTTTGGATTAATTTGATCTAAAAAAATAAATTAATCTGGTAAAACAGAAAGTGTGGTATTTTATTGTATTATATAGGTATAAGGCATAAAAAACTAAGCTAGGAACATCTAAACTGCTTTACCCTAATTTTAACTTGTTTGGGAGATAGTTTGTCAAAATGTAGACATAATATTTCAGACCAAAAATACCTAGTGTTCTTGACCGAGAAGCCTTTTGGTTATTTCGCCTTCGGTTTGCAACTATTATTTTAAAAGAAAACGATTCGATTCTCGTTGGCGACTTTGACAACCTTTTTTATTCTCCTATCAAAAACAATCTGACTACTGTTTTAAAATACATAATACAGGACGAAACAAAATAAACTTAAGACTAATAAAAATTGTAAATAAGTACACACAATGAACTTAGGTAACACTTAGATTGTTTAATAGAATTCGAAAACAAAAAACAGAGGGTTCCCTTGGAAAAAAAATATTTTTTTGTTGTCTTCCTTTTGGGTATACCCTGTATATTGGGAAATATATTTACAATAGGCACCTCTGCGAACCGTAAAACTGTTATATTTGACATTTTCCAACTTAGATATTGGACTTCCACACACTAATGGGCCGCCCTGTATAAAAACAATGCCTTTTTGGAAAAAAGGATGTACTGCTGTTTTGAAGACGCGCTTCTTTAAACTGTCACTGTTTTTGATACAGTATGGAAATAAAAGGGTTGGGACTTTATGGCCTCAATCTCAGATTCACTGTACGAGGTGTGGCTATAAAATAACGAGACTATTGCTGAAAAACATTTTAATTTTATACATTTTTAGTTGGTATCACCTTCAATATACACCCCTTCTCTATCTTCATAACGCTCCATGCGAATTTTCCTTTTTTCTGAATAGTGTTGTTGAAAGTCTTTTTGCTCCTTCATGACGCATGTCGCTGTTTCTTTCATAGCTTCAACTGACTGACATCTTGTTCCTTTTAACGCAGATTGAATCTTGGGAAACATATAGAAGTCGCTTGGTGCAAGGGCAGGCGAATAAGGCAGACATATAATGAACCAGCACATTGTCTTGTTGGAGAACCCATGACTTTTTCTTCCACGATTCGGGTCGTTTTTTTATATATTCTTTCCTACAGTTTCAGCAAACGCACAAATAGTTAACTGACGCCGGTCAGATCTAATCAGATTTCCATTTTTTTTTAATATTTTCATCCGTTTTTGATGTAGAAAGACGATTTGGGCGTGCATCATCTTCAAAGTCATTTTGGAAACGCTTAAACCACTCAGAAACTCCTTGCTCCAATTCCTTGCCACACACTTCTTTCAATAAAAGATAAGTTTCAAGTAGTGCTTTTTCTAAGTTATACATATGAAATTTCACGGCTATTCGTCGCTCTATTATTACACTTCCGGCAAAACAAAACAACAATTCTTATACAAACGAAGGCCACGGCCAGACTAATTTGTTTACAGACACGGAAGGGGCGGCATTCGAAAAAGACTTCACGCTACACGCCTGTCGCTCGCGTTTGGCGCGAATGCGTACTTCTCCTGTGGGAACAACAGTCTCGTTATTTTATAGCCACACCTCGTACATCGGTAGAAGCGGTCCTACTATGACCGAGAGGAGCTGAGAACGGCATAACACCTCTGAGGCATTTCGCACCTAACAGATTTAAACGAACAAGCTTGTCAAAAGGTTTGGAACCTTCACTTACCGTTTGACTTAATACACCTAATAAAAAACGGATTAGCTTGATTGAGCGTATCCATGAGCGAATGTAAGCTTTGTTGAAATTGAGCAGTGACAGTCATAGGTTGTTTCCTTGCTTTTCCCAGTTGGCCTTGGGGTTGAGCGGTGATGCCCGTTCGTCCGGCCAACGTTTTGACCGTCTGAAGATTCTTCAGGCCCTTTTTGCTGCGTTCTCGCGGACGAAATGATTTGTTCTTCCTGTCGAAAAGATGAAAGCATGAGACGCGGTAAAAGAGAACGTATCCCATTCGATGCAACGGTATTAATGAAAGCAAAAATTAATTAACAATAATCGGCTACATTCCTCATGATATAAACTTGACAAGAGACTACTACTGACTCATCAATAGATGGAATCGTTGGAAGTGTCATACTGTTGACAGATTGGAAAACAGAACACTTTTCAGTATTACAAAAATGATTAGTTTTATTATTATTGATAGTTTGAAATGTTTTTATTTCAAAGAGTGATTATTAAAGCAAGTTTTGTAAAAAATTAATTAATTTATAATATTTTCTAATAAGTTTTGTCAAGTATGTCAAATCTCAATATGCGCTAATAATAGAACTTTTGATTTTTTTTTAAAATTCGAAAATAAATTATCTAAATTCTTCCTACGAAATTATGAAATTAATTCTATAACCCCAAGGTAAAAAGAAATTAATTAAAAAAATCAACAGGCTCCGACAAGATTCGTAACCTATGATCTCTTGCAAACCACAGAATTCTTTTCAATACCTCTATTTAGCCATCAATACAGCATTGTGGAGATATGTCACGCCAATGCAATGTTTTCTTCTTTCATCTTAACACACTTTTAGACAAAAGAAGTACACTGTATTGGATACAGGTAGAAAGGTTAAGGCGATTGCATGGTTTGCAGAAGATCGCAGTTTCGAATCCTGTTGGAGCATGTGTTTTTTAATTAGGGGTTCGTTAATAAATTCCGTAATTCAAAAAAATTCGTTTGAAATTGCTGAATGGGGCACCTTTGTTTAAAAAATAACATGCTTATTATCATGCAAAAAAGACAGTTTGGTTTAGAAAAACGTATATAAGGAAATGCAATAACTACAAGAGAAATGTATATGTTTTGCCAAGTTAATTTTATTTGCTCACTCTAGCAACATTTAAAAAATCGCTGTGTCTAGGTACACGCTAACTTGTACGCAAATCTAAAAGTTAGATACACGCGAAACGTCATCAAGCCGATGATGTCATTATTTAGCGTGCGCAAATATTGTATTTTTGGTACACGCTTACTTGTACAGTAAGTGTCAGTGAGGTTATGTATGTTTGTTATTTAATCGGGTTGTGTTTACACTTTAGAATATTAATTAGTAAAAAGATTTCTTATTTTTTGATTTGTTTAGTGTTTGTTTGAATTTATTATGCAGTGTGGACAATTATTTAATTCTTTTAATGAGTTTAACAACATTTTAAAACAATATGAAAAAGATAACAGACAAAAATTTGTGATTAAGGGTAGCAGAACTATTAAAACGGCTGAAAGGATGTTAAAGCGTAAATTAAAGGAAGACCTTAAATATTACGAAGTTCAATATAATTGTGTTCATGGTGGTGCAGTAAGAAGACGTGGAAAAGGCAATCGTAAAACAAGGTAAAAATTACATACTAATTTTATTATTGTCAATTTGTTATTCTGTGAATTTAATCGATATACCTAATTATTTAGGAATCTTCGGTACACCCGTGTTGAATGTGTATTTTATGTATGTTTAAGAACTTACAAAATGAATTGTCCAGCCATAATCAAAATTCGGGCTACCAAGACAGGTGATTTTCTCCAAATTAAACAATTAGTGGAGAAGCATGAAAATCATGAAATGTCAGAAGTAAGTGTAATATGTACTTTTTTGTATTTTTTTATTTTAATGGTTATTTGTTATTTTATAACCCTCTCTCTTTCAGGTGGTGTACGATTATTTGCCATCAAACCGTAAGCTAAACTCTAATGAACAAAGCACTGTCGAGAATTTAATGGATGTCCGTGGGAATAAAAAGCTAATTCAACAAAAAATATTGTGTTCAACTGGAAAATTGAGCACAATGAAAGATCTATCAAACATTGCATATGGTATGAAAAGTGCTAGTAATGATTTAGAACATGTAGTAAATGAATTGAAAGATATTTACAGTGAGTTACTATTATAGATATAATATACTTATATAGGGTGTCCTGAAATTAGACGGTCATATTTTAGCAGCGTAAACTACATGCTAAAATAGGAGTAAAAGTTCATTTAAACATAGGTCTGAAAACGTTTCGTTTTCAAGATACAGGGTATTAAAAGTTAAGTCCTGATGACACATTTTTGTAAATATTTTCTAAACGTTTAAAGATAAATAAATGAAATTTGGTACAGATTCTAAACTTATTTAATGGACTAAACCCCAGTTTTTGATCACCTTCATAGACGGGTTAATTAGGGTAAAATTAGTTTAAATAAATAGTTTAAACGTCTACAGTTTTAGAAATAAATTCTCATCAATCGTTTTATTGGGCCAAGGCCAACCAAACCATATATACAAGATTGTATATAAAATAAACATTTAAAAATCAATTAAAATTAAAATTTCTTTATTCACCGGTTTACCAGACTGAAAAAATAAATAAAATATTTGATTCCACAGGCCTACTAATTTGCACTTTCGAATAAGATAATATGAACTTATCATGAAATTTTCAAATGCTTTTCTCTTGAAAATTGTGCGTCCTAAAATGTGTCATCAGAACACCCTGTATCTCGGAGACGAAACATTTTCAGACATATGTTTATATGAACTTTTACTTCTATTTTAGAATGTAGATTAAGCTGTTAAAAGATGACAGTCTCATTTCGGGACACTCTGCATATATATTTATTTTACATTTATTTTTTTAGAATGCAATGTTCACATTTTACATGATTCTGTAAACCAATTTAAAGCTCTATATTTTTCAACTGATTCCATGAGAAGAGCAATTAAATCCTGGCCTGAATTTGTCTCTATAGATGGTACCTATAAGTTATTAAATCTAGGATTTACTGTGTTTGTAATGATAGTTGAAGATTCGAATGGTCAGAGTGAAATCGCTGCCGTGGCCCTAACTGCACACGAAGACAAAGAAACATTTGCTTGTTTTATGAATATTTTTAAAGAAGAGAATTCTATTTGTGTAAATCAAATAAAATGTTTTATGGGCGATAAGGATTTACTACAAAGAAATATGATCAAAGAAATTTTTCCTCACGCCCAAGTATACAAACTATGCCAAAAGACATCTTGGACTCAAATATAACTGGTTTGTTGAGTTTTAAAATTATTGTTAAAATAAACTTACATAATTAACAATATTCCTTCTTCTCTAGCTGATGTTAATGAGATTTTAGTAACTGACGAAATGTCTAATATAGAAGTTGAATTCAAAGATCTAATGGAAGAACAAAATAACAAGGACATTTTATCTGTAAATGGACATGGTCAACTAACTATACCAAAAGACATCTTAGACTCAAATATAACTGGTTTGTTGCTTATTTGATATTATTGTTAAAATAAACTCATATAATTAATAATATTTTTTCTTTTCTAGATGTTAATGAAATTTTAGTACCTAACGAAGAAAAATTTTTTACTGAAAATTGGCAAAAAATCGAAAGGACATGGGGAATCAGTTTTAACTATGGAAAGCATCGAAAAAATCAGAAGTAAGATTTTCATAGATACGTTTTATTTGTAATCGCTAAAAATTATTATTTTTTTTAGTAATAAGTGAAATAGTATTACCGCCCAAAATTAAAATAAAAGGAAGACCTAAAGGAGCCGATCAAACCGTTATTGAATTAAAGCGAAGACGAACTAAAAAATTATTTTCTGAGCTTTGACAATAATAATTATCTTATGTATAAAAATTATTTTTACAGTATTTTGTACATGTCATGTCAACTAAATGTATATTTTGCTAACCTGAATATATATTTTTTTCTACTCCTATACTATAAGTTATTAAGACGACTCTATGTGAACCGGCGTTGAAGAAAAACATAACCTCGAAATTTTTATCAAAAATGAGGGCGGAGGGAGGGAAGGGTTTTTTTTATTTCTTTATATTTTATTTTTTATTCATTTTATCAAAAAGGTCTTGCGGGATTTTTATATAAATAGTAAATTTTGCAATGTTTTTTAAAGTCATAGTTATTAAATATATGGTTTAAAAGTAAACTAGACATTTTAAGTTAAAGTTTATTTACAAAATCTCCACTAACTATAAGAATTTAGACGGCAAATATTCAGATATTTACATACATGAAAGTAATTATTCTGGTGTTGGATTGCGAATTTCCATTTTCCTCAGATATCTAGCATCAATTATTTCGGGTAGGAGACAGGTGTAGTAAAATTATTATTAATACATGATTGTTGCATAATATACTATATACACATTGATTTATTACAATTAAATTTGAGACATCTCAATAGTTCTGCTACCCTTCCCTTAATCACAAATATTTATCTATCAAACGAACACTAAACACACCAACAAAATTGAAAAATTAGCGTGTACCAAATATACAGTCATAGAGCACGTTAAATAATGACGTTATCGGCTTGATGACGTTTCGCGTGTACCTAACTTTTAGATTTGCGTACAAGTTAGCGTGTACCTAGACACAGCGTTAAAAAATGGAAAATGAAAGAAACATTCATGTGTCACAATAGTAGTTTATTAAACCAATACCAGAGTTATTTTGTGGAATACCCCAGATGAGTAACTTCCAAATTATATTATTAAATATTATGATGCATAAAAGAATTACTTAAAGAAACCCTTTTTAATAGTCTCTTTTAGTAGAAGCAATAGTAGTAGTAGTACAATATTTTACTTAAAACATAAAAATAATACAATTATTTAACTTTCTGTGGACTTAATATAGAACTAAAAAAGTTTTAGGAATACACTACAGTTTGTTTGTCTCAGGTTCTCCAAAGGTTCACAAAAAACGTTCAAGAGGAAGGATTATCTTGCATCAAGATAAAACTTGGGCTCGCACTGCTGTTCGAACAAATGATTATTTGAAGGCCCAAAACATTGAAATAATGGGTAATTCACAGTATAGCCAGACCAAGCATCTAATAACTTCTTATTTCCGCGGGTACAGGATAAATACGGGGTTTACATTTTACATCAGCTGAAGAAGCCGTTGATATCTTTAAAAATTAAATGAACAAACTACGGTCAGAAGATTGGAGAAAATGTTTTCAAAAATGATTTTCGCGGATGCAAAAAAGCATTGATTATGGAGGAGAGTACTTTGAAAAATTTAAAATATTTTTTTTTAATACAATGTTTTACTTTACTAGGCTCAATGGAAAGGGAACAGCCCTCGTAAATCCTAAAAAAGTACCTAAAAACGTGACGCAAGTTTTGTTCATAATAAATTCTATAAATTCCTAATATAGACAAAAAATAGTAACCATCAGAAGATCTACATCATTCATTTCTTGAATAGTGGTTTTAATAGAATAAAATCAAATACCAAATCGGTATTCTGTGAATATATTGACCACATTTAGGAAATGGATAGATAATATATTCTACTTACAGTCGGTAGCATGAACATTCTTTAAAATTTATGGGTCTGATAAACTTTGGCAGCATTATAAATGAGATTTACATGAACTTCAAATTACTTAAGCTAAACACCTGATAAAGTATATCAGGCCCATACATTTTAAAGATCATTCTTGCAACCAGTTGGCTCTGAAAAATAATTTTAGATATTTTACAGAAAAACTGTTTTGTTTTCTTAAAGTTACCCATATTGACCTTTCCAATAAACCAGTTGCACCAACCAAACCCCTGCCAACACCATTTTTTTACCACCCACCACCAAATACTGAAAAATTTCACATACATAACGATCTGATTGGCCCGCTGTATAGCTCGGGCTTCGTCGGGAGCCAATCGTTCGAGGCCGACGGAAGAATTCGGACTTCCGGTTAGGGAATCCTTTCTTCTTCGGTCATCCTCGGAGTTTTTGCTACTATTCGGACTGTGTCTGTTTCGTTGATAGAGTTGCGGCCATGATAGTCGATTGTTAGATTGTTCGTTGTCTAAGTTTCGGCCCAGCCGGTTAAATGAGATGGTGTTTCGTTGTTTACTGAACGTGGTTTGAAAAAAAGTGGATTTTAGTGATACATTACGCGTTAGAAATAGTGTCATTATTTATGAATTATTTTTATTAGATATTTTTTTAAATAATCGTTTGCACCAGTCTTAAAATAATTTAGTTCCTAAATATAATGAGTTAAATACACTTCCCCAATAAATTAACTCACCATCAAAAAATAACAAAAAGTTTAAAGTAAATATTTGTCAAAACCACTTGTCTGATTTGGACGATTTTTTTTTAAATGACAGGTTGTCTCTTCCACAACGTCGGTGTGCTAACTGTGTTTGCAAAAAATTTTTTTTTTTATTAATACAGGGTGTATCAATTATAGCGTAATTTTTTCATGTCAACGTCGCAAATTCCGCACTTCCCACTCCAGTAACTTTTGCCTCAACTTAAAGTACTCATCCTTTACTCCCCAGGAAGTTATTTCTAAAATTAACAGTCTTGATCTCAATAAAAGTGCGGGTCCTGATGGCATCCCTCCGATTTTATTAAGGAATGCTGTGATGCGTTGTCTGTTCCCCTTAGTCAAATTTTCCAGAAATCCTTTTTTCAGGGTACTTTTCCAGATATATGGAAATTTTCCAGTCTAATTCCAATTCTGAAGTCGGGTGATAAATCTAATATAAAAAACTATAGGGGTATATCTATTATATCCACAATTCCCAAATTATTTGAATCAATTCTTACTGATGAAATAGCTGCTTCCTTCAAATCTTATATCTCCCCCTTTCAGCATGGTTTTTATCAGGGGCGTTCTACCGCTACTAACCTTTGTTGTCGAAGGCCTTTGATAGTGTCTCTCATCAACTGCTTTTAAAAAACTTTCCGAAATAGGTATTGCTGGTAACTATCTCAGTTGGATAAAATCATATCTAACTAATCGCTCCCAACAAGTTTCTATTCATAATTTTACATCACGGAAAGTATCAGTTTCATCAGGCGTTCCGCAAGGCTCACACCTTGGTCCTGTCCTGTTCTCACTTTTTATTAACGACGTAACTTCCTGCTTTTTAAATAGTACTTGTCTTCTATATGCAGATGACTTGAAATTTTTCAGCACAGTCACACATAACACTACTGCCCTTCAAGGTGATCTAGAGAGACTAAACGAGTGGTGCAAGGAGAACCATCTCGCACTAAATACCAGTAAATGCAAAACCATCTAGTTCACTAGAGCGTTAACCCCTTCTCAAAATCAATACAAAATCGGTAATACTGTACTGCAAAATGTCACATCTGTGAATGATCTAGGGGTGATATTTGATATGGAACTGTCCTTTCGAGAACATATTTATTCCATTATCTGTAAAGCTTTCCGGATGCTAGGCTTAATTAAAAGAAATATTCAACATATGTATGATACTAAAGCAATCTTAACATTATTGAACAGCCTTGTTAGAAGCATTCTTGAATATTGCTCTGTCGTATGGCATCCTAATTACACCTGACACATAGAGAGGATAGAACGAGTTCAGCGTAAATTCACTATTTGCTGTTTAAACACCACTTTCCCTACCAAAACGTTGGTCTCGAAAGTAGACTGCTGTTATGTGGTATGCAAAGCCTAGAAATCAGAAGAAGACATGCACTAGTTCTGTTTCTGTTTAAATTAATTAACGGCAAGATTGACTGTAGCGCCCTTTTGCACTTAATTAGTTTTTTGGCACCTACTCGACGTACACGTCATACTTCATTGTTTTTCATCAGAAGACATAGAACCAACTATGGACAAAGAGCATTTATTGACCGTATGTGCCACATTTACAATAAGCTTTACTCCGAGTGTCACCTATTTAACACAACGTTGTATGCGCTAAAGAGTTATTTGAAACTGTCAAAATATTTTTTTTTGTTTTTTTTTGAGCTTTAATATTTAAACCTCTTACTATGTATGTGATTTTGTGAATGTGATATTTTTGTGTAGGTATTCTACATACATGTATTAATTGTTATTTTTTTTAGTCTGTGTACCATTTAGAAAAATAATTCTGTAGTGTACCTATTTGAATAAATAAAAATAAATAAAAGTTGTAACACCCTGTAGAGTGTAACAGTTACATTACCAAGTCAGAATTGATCTAACAATTTCTTTTTTTATTTACTCCATTATCTTTGTCATTTTACGAGAAACACTATTTTATAACATAACATGATTTTATTAAAAATTAATATTCAAATTTAACAATAAAAAACACGAAACAAAATGTAACGAAATAAGTTAGACAAAAGTGTCAGTAGCGAGTATTTCCGCCTCTGGCACGAATACCTTCTTGACAACGGTGGTCCATACTTAAAATAAGAGACCTTATGTCATTTTGGTCCAATTCTTCTCATATTTGAATTAGTCTCTGCCGTATATCTTCCAGAGAGTTCAGATTACGTTCCTCTTGTAATCTTCTCCCAAGAGTATCCCAGAGATTTTCTATCGGATTTAAATCCATGCCATGGTAGCAATACCGACTTCCTCTAGATAATTTCTCACAATTCAAGCAACATGAGGCCTGGCATTATCTTGCATCAACAAAAATCCTTGCCCTATATATGGTGCAAATTGAACTACATGTTTGTCTAAAATCTCCAATGTGTACTTGACAGCTGTAAGGCTTCCATTTAGTATTACAAGTTCTGTGCGACCAGTCAAAGAAATGCCTCCCCAGACCATCAGAGATTCTCCTCCAAATAATGTATGTGAGAAATTACACTGATCATACCGTTCATTAGGGCGTCGGTATACGCGCATACGCCTGTCATTGTTATACAGACAAAATCGAAACTCATCAATAAATAATACCTGTTGCCATTCAGCCTCTAACCAGTTACGATGCTCTCTGGCAAAATTTAGCCTTGCTCTGCGATGAATTCTAGTTAGAACTGGACCTCGAGCAGATATTCTAGGCCTTATGTTCCCTTAGTCGCTGACGAACAGTTTCTGCACAAACTTCTAAACCATTAGCTAGGAATGTGCACGAGCTTGATCGAGCAGGCTCGGTTCTTGCTTGTACAGCTCGAGCACGCTCGAGCGGAGCTCCGAACAGTACGACCAGTCCGATGCCCGAGCGGCTCCTGCATAATATTCGGCTCGAGCGCCTCGCGTATCGGCTCGGCTCGAGCCTCGAACGATCCGAGTGTTCCGTACTCCGAATCATTCGAACTCTCGGTAATGAACTTATCATCGAGTAATTTCTCCATACCTAGTCGCATATTATTTAATAAAATTAATAAAACCTCGAACGTCCCTTAGTGTGACTCTGTAAAAGCAGCCTCGTCAGAGAGATCACGTGATAATGTTTTCGAGCACTCCAATGCTTAGATGGACCGAGTTAATGACTGGTTACTTATTCGAAATATCAAATAATTTTCATTTATTCGAATGAAAAAAATCCTATATACTTACTGTAAACGTAAATGAAGTCAAAGACTTATTCTTATCACACTTATATTACGGGGACCGAAACACATTAATCACTTTTCACCACTAAATTTAATGTTGAATGATTCATTCAGAGTACGGAACGCTCGGATCATAAGAGACTCGAGCCGCTCGAGCCACTAAAGCCGCTCGAGCTGTACCGGTACGTGATGCGCTCGTATTGTTCGGAGCTGCATTGTAGCGTGCTCGAGCTGCAATTTTTCGAGCTTGATCGCGAGCGCGTGAACTTTACAAGCTCGTGCACATCCCTACCATTAGCATCCCGAAGCTGGGTTTGAAGGGTCCGAGCTGTTACAAAACGTTGTCGTAATTTTGACAGTCTTAAAAATCGATCCTGAATCGGAGTAGTTACTCGGTTTCTTCATTGTCCCGGCCTACGACCATGATTTCCAGTCTCTCTATATCTTTGTATAACTCTTTAAACAATATTAAAGCTTGAGCACATTCTTCGCGAGTAAGATTTCGTGGCATATTGTTTAATAATTTTTTTTTGCAAAAATGGCGAATGGACTAATACTGACAATACGCATCTGTATTTGACAATTACTGGTTTGTACTTTAGTGCTTATAATGTTAATGAAAATGAATAAAGTCATGTTAAGTTATAAAATTGAGTTTCTCGTGTAATAGGAAATAAAAAAAGAAATTGTTAAGAGAAGATAAGGCTACATTGTGATATCAATGGGAACTTGGTAATGTAACTGTTGCACTCTACAGGGTGTTACAACTTTTATGAAAAAATCACGCTATAATTGCTACACCCTGTATTAATAAAAAATAGGGTTTTATGCAAACACAGTTAGCCCACCGACGTTGTGGAAGAGACAACCTGTCATTTAAAAAAAATCGTACAAATCAGACAAGTGATTTTGACAAATATTTACTTTAAATTTTTTGTTATTTTTTGATGGTGTGTTAATTTATTGGGGGAAGTCTATATTCTTTTTTTTTGAGAATTGACGTCCACAAAATCATCTGTAGTTTGTGAAAAACATTTTGCAGATTGTACTGTAATAACAGAGGAGGTTATGAAGAGAGATGCTGGTACAATGTTAATATTGCCTAGAAAAGTTTCCGACTTAACAGATGATGCAGTGTCAACTATTTTACATAAGATTGTCTTAAAAAGAAAATATTGCATGAAGATTTAAAAGCTCGGAATGATAGACTTCTTTAAAATAGGTGTTTGATTTTAATAATTTTGATGGAATGTTCCAAAGTAAAACTTATGCTATCTTTTATTTAATATGAGATCACTCATAATTTATTTTATAACTGTTTCGGTGAACATCTTTATCCAAATATTTTGAATTTGGCACATTTGCATAGAGATCTAGGCATAGCCATTTAAAGATGTCACCCAGTAGATTGATCCAAATTGTGACGTCCTTATTTAACGTTTATGACATCTAGTTACCACGAATGTTATGGATTCTATGTATCATGAGCGTCATTTCTGGGCGCAAGGGTGTTTTAAAAACTCAATGAAGTAAATCGGCTATCGTTAACGTCGTCCACTATATATTACACAATTTTATTTTAAAAGAAATTACATTAGCCTTTTGCTGATCAAGAAATGAAAAAGTGGATTTGAATTTAATTCGGTACTGTCTTTCTTTTAATATAAAAAGGAATGTGATAATGAATTTTTAACATATATTATAATCCATGCACAAAAAACAAGGCATTAAAAATTTTCTTTGTTAAACGCAAATATTTACTCAAGGTAAACACTATTTCAAACTGTTTCACATGCATAATGAATGTAACACCAAAAAAATATAAATATAAAAAGTAATTAAATAATATGCCATGTAGTCATTTATTAAGAACACCAATGTAATAATATTTCTTTAAACTAATGTTCATGTTATTTAATTTTAGAAGAATTACTTATTATTACATAACTAGTACCAAACAAAAGTTTAGAGAATTTATTAATGATATAAAATCAAATCAAAAATTGGTGACAGATACTGATCAATGATAAACAAACCACAGAAAGAAAGAAGGGAAAAAAACGTCAAAATGACATAGGCGTATCCAGTGGGAATCAGAAAACTGCGTTACCCAATTAATTACAAAAAGAATACATTTTGCAATCTCTGAGCTTTGTCGTTTTGCATTTTTTGTAAGATGTTGCAATTATTTTTCTATTATTGTCCCAAAACGACGTTTTGGATACGCCTATGGTGAGCGGTAACGTCAAAATTTGTTTCTAAACTTACGCAATTCTGTTTATTGTGAGGTTCACAGCAGAAACTGTCACAAGATGGCTACAGAACGACACATATACATGTATCAGTTTCCTCACTTTTTATCGTACAAAAATTAAAGTAAAAGCCAAAACAATAAAAGAAAAATTTCGTCATCAGTAACAGAAATTAAATAGCCCAAATATAGCACAAAAAATAAATGTTTAATATTAAAGTTCAGTATAATTTAAAAGTTTTGAAGTCTATTTTTAGATAAACCATCAATTTTTATTTATTAAGAATAATATTATTTATTAAAATAAAAATTAATTTTAGGCCAAACTAGTTTGATTGAAAATATTAATCAGCATATATATTTTTTATTATTGCAAGCCAAAAAGAGATTGATAAGTAAAAGCGTCAAAAAATATTAACAGATAATGCTTTTTAGAGTGTCTAGAATGGCTGTGCAAAAATTTTATGAAAATTCGTAACAGTTCCGTTTCCTTTGTATTTAACAAATCGAATATTTCCATAGCTCTTACAGCTATGATTAAATTTTAATTAAATAAAGAAAAATTGTTAGGTTAATCTAAATATGACAGACTTGAAGCGGCAATTTAAAAACAAAAAATAATTTTTTCTTTTATAAAATAATATAAAATTTTATAAACAAAAATTACTTTGTTTATAATAACTTTACACCCAATTTTTACATAAACTCAAAAAAGCTTCTTTATTAAAAAAAAAAAAAACAATAAATAGCCTAAAAGTAACCCCCAAAATAAACTAATCGCAAATGTCACTCACCTAATAAGATTCTCGTTTGGAACGTGATTCCTAGAATACCTCTGCTGAATATTATTCTTATTTCCGTCCACCCTTCCCTGTCTGTGCTTCCTCCCTGCTTCGTGAAACGCGAAATACGCCCTGAAGAAGGCCCTAACGATCGCCCACCGAAAGACAGCCACCGGATCGGCACCGACCAGCTCTCTGACGAACGCCATTGAACTGTTTTTCAGCACCCCTACGATGTCTTGCCGCATCAGGTCGAGATTTTTCTCTCGCATATCCATCACTTGGTATTTGACTTTGCCAGCGTAGTGCACAATGATGAATGCCCCTTCTTTTTTCTGGGGCTTTTGGTAGAATTTGTTGTCCTTGTGGACGGTGTTGAACTTTTGAAGCAGTGTTTCGTTTGTTGCTCCCGGGAAACTAAGAAAAATTGATTTTTTGAATACCAGCAGGTGACATTTAAAAAATGAGAATTTTTAAAATAAATATGGTGAAAAATATTTTTTTCGCAAATCTGATAAAAACATTCAAAAAGACAGATCAATGATTATCAGGCTAAAGAAGCTGACTGATGCCAGAGATTTTGCAACTTTTTCACACTATTTGGATTATCCTGTATACTGGTTTAGAAAAATTATGAATGAAACAGTTGTTACTTACTTGCACTGGTCATCCAATAAAAATATTAATCCGTTAGGCTTGCCCTCAATCAACTGCAAACAGCCTGTATTATCCATAAACTCTATGTTCGTCCACCTAAAGTAATAACATTATGCATTAATTAGTACTATATGATTAAAGAGTATGTTTTTTTTACCTAATCCCTTCTTTTCTGTATTCTTCTTGCTCATATTTAAACACGTGCTGATTAAAATAGTACTGAAGATGTTCATTGGCGTAATTTATGCACAGCTGTTCGAAACTATTGTTCAGGCCAAAATCCTCGAAGCCAAAAATGTCAAGGACGCCTATGGAGTTGCCCTGGTGTTCTCTGAGGGTGTCTTTTTTCGATAGAAGAGCGTGATTGACCTAAACGACAATTAGAGATATTATTTTTTTTAACTTAAATCTAGCATAATTTTGTACTTAGAGTATAGTGTTTGAAAGACTTACTTGAAGTACTATCCAATCAAAGAGAGCCCCGTAAAGACATTTCGCCATAGCGTCCCTGCTGGCTATAGCTTCAGGAAGTCGGTAATTGATGACAAGTGTTTCCCCCGAAGCTCGCGCCCTCTTCGCTGTAAGAGCTTGCATTAAAGTTTCCTAGAAATATAAGAATAAAATTATTAAAATATCCTAAGCCCTAATTTATATACAAATAATTAACGGCTTATAATACACTCATTCCTTAGTTAACTTCTAGCGACAATTTCTATACATTTTCAAATCATATTTTCAGTAAAAATGCTAAAATTTTAAGGTGCCAAAGAAATCCATTTTGCCGTTATTCAACAATTTCGCATTACTCATGCGCGAAAAAAGTGCGGGAGTTTTGAATCTAGTAATTTTCCTCTTATCCTCGCCTTACAACTAATGGGTTGGCTACGACGATTACTCGACGATCTAGTTTATATAGTAGGGGAGCTAGTGACACTTTTTTGGTACACATTTGCACAAGGCATTTTCCAAACCGGCTTTTTAAGAAGTTGTCGTCGAATGCTCCACCGCTGCAGGAAAGTATTTCCATGTTCTACAAGGTAAGAATTAACGAAATATTTGTAATTTTGCCTTGTGCAAATAACACACCTAAAAGTGTCACTGGTTTCCCTACCAATATTATAACAACAACAAATTTTAATGATTTTATTAGGTGTACGATTTGCGCATGCGTAAGAGACATCATCAATAACAGGAAAGGTCTATTAAAGACCAGTAAAATAAATTAAGTTATCCAGATTAATATATCACTAACAATGTAATAGTAATCGATAACCATACATCATGTAATTGACAAATAGCTAATAATTATACTTGGTACACTTGGATAGTGATATGCAACAAAGAATCAATCAACATTTTTTGCACAGCGAAGTTACCTCACTTCAGTGTCCCCAAGAGAGCTATGCAATTTTTGGTTAACCCTTATTCCTGTTTTCTATCAGTGAACTCTTCAAGACATTTTTTTTTTAAAGACTTCCGGAGTTCGACATTTTGTGGCCTATTTTGGTATACTTTACTTTTTAAGTATTCCCATAAAAACATATCAAGGGAAGTTAAATCTGGCGACTCATATGGCGATTCGCTGCTTGATCCCCTTTCCCTAATCCATCTATCTGGAAAGAAGTTGTCCATTACTTACCAAGATAGTGTGGGGGCGCAACAACTTGTTGAAGCCTCAAATCATTTAATTTAATTGGGATGAAAATAAATTTTGCAGAAATTCTAAATATCGAGGACTTGTTAAGGTGTCATTAAAAAAGTATGGTTCTATAATCCTATTATTCCACCCCAAACATTCAATTTCTTCGGGTATTCCATTTCCATCAATGTGAATTTTCTGCAGTCAAATACAGGCAAGTCAGACAATTTAGAAGAAACGTCTCTTCATCAGAAAAAGTAACTTTTTTTAAAAAATTGGATTTATTTTTTTCCATCATAATTTCGCAATTCAATCCGTTTATCAAAATCGTCTTTAAGAAGCTCCTAAACAAAAGTAACTTTTCAGCCATGTAAATACAAATCTGTATTCTGTTTGCTAAGTGCTTGGTAAATTTTGCACGGTATACAGCCGTACTTCATTAGGGACGGTATACTGTAATTTTCTACGATTTAGTACAAATTTGAGCCCCTAGTCGTAGCTAGTTCAAATTTGTACCGCTAGTCGGTAAATAACTTAAAAATCTCACATGTTATTATATTGTTTTTGCGTCAAAGTCGGGTTAAGTTAGAAAAACGTTTGGTATGTAGTGCTATCCCCAATGTCAGAACCCGGGAGGGCAGTCACAGAACCTATCAAACCAGAAGACAGACACCATATACTCCAGAACGCATAAATATACGATCAATAAGGTCAAAAAATCAGCAAAAACAAAAGAGAACACCGGCAAGAAGGGGGAGATAACCCTCAGTCCTCGCAGCCTCAGTACAAGATCCTTCCCAAGACAGGAAGAAGATGCAGAACAACCCCCAGAAGCCATGAATGATATATTCACCTTGCAACATGAATTTTCAGAATTAAACAAAATGGTAAATATAACAGCCCTCACAGACGTCGTTCGTTATCTTAACCCTGAAGATTTTCTTACATACAACAATTTTATGACAACCCTCGGTTTCTACAATATTGGAAACTAAAAACTTCAATCGACATTCAAGAAAATTTGTACTGTATATCAGAAACCATGTTTTGTTATTGTTTAAGAAGGAAACTAACCTATTTTTGATTTATATGACAAAGGTGTAATAACTACAATATTAGTATATACATTGTTCTTTCTATAAATTGGTGTAAGCAGTGCAATAATTTTAAAAGCTGGAGCAATATTATTCGATTTAAAAATATAATTTTGGCGAGTATTTTCTTTGTCATTCTTTGTTCGATTTTCCCGTATTTCACAATTTTTTACCGAAATAAATATTTTTTCTCAGATAATTCTTGAAACCTTAAGTAGTAATTATAAAAAATTATTATCGAGTGAACTTTACTTAAAAATTATTTATTGGAGGTATTAGGATAGTCAAATTAATTTGGTTTGCGTTATTAATTTTATTACGTCTTCTGTTATGTTTAGAATACAAAATATTTAATAATTTGATGATAAGGTTTTTGTTAACATATTCAATTCAATTAGATAAAATATATTTACGTTTGTTTATATTTTCCAAGGTGATCATTTAATGAATGAAAGTGCATACAATGTTTAAATTATAAAATATTTAATAACGGAGAACAATCGATAGAAGCCGGGCGATTGGTATCAAATTGGTCGATAAGGTTTGTGAATTTAATTAGATAAAGTATATTTATGTCTGTTTATATTTTTCAAGATTACCATTTAATCAATGCCGGTCATCTATTACACCTACCTATATTTAAAAGTGAACGCTAACTGTATAAGTGATTTTACCTGTTTAACCCTAAGCAACTCGGATATGAGCATTACAACTTCCGGATTCTTTACGCCCACGGCCTCGTCATGGTGATAAGCGCTTTTCCTAGGCTGGAACTCGACGTTCCCGAGCAGAAGCACGGCGGATAAAACGGAAAACAATCGTCTCTGTTTTTCGGTCGTGAAGCCCACCATCTCCATAGACTGTTTCAATCTGGAGAACTCGTAACTTTCGTCTGTGTTATCCAAGGCGCCGCAGGATTTATTGAGATAGTAGTACTGATCGGGGCGCTTGAGGTGGAGTTGTTGTTTTTCTTGTTCGTTTGCCCCTAAAGGAAAATCAAAAAATAAAGCGAGATATCTAGCTAAAAAATTAAACCTGTTAAAAAATTGTCATATCTGTAAACAGCTAATTGATAATTGCATTCATAATTATTGTGGTAGAGTCTCTGCCTGCGGATCCAAGGGTCCCAGGTTCGAATCCCACTGTTGGCCGGGATTATTTTATTTAATTTAACTATTTAAAATTAATTCTGATGCCTTGGTAGGATTCCCCACTCGACCATTCACTGTTAGGTTCTAATTAACAGTGCTGTTCCTAAAGTGGCGCTGGGAAACAGTAACAAAACATACACAGAACACGAGGCTAATGGTCTTAGTAGTCGATGCCGATGACATCAAATTAAAAAAAAAATATTGTAGAAAGCTACCTCATTTTAATAAATAACATTTAAATTAAATCAACCAATAAATAACTTCGGTATAGTAAATTCAAAATATTATTTATAAAATGTAAATATACAACCTATAGAAGATTTTGAGAATCACAAAAAAAACATTTCACACTAGTCTAGACCAGTGATTTTCAAAGTAGGGGTAGCGACACACAGGTGCTCGCGAAAAATAGTTTGGGGGTTTTGTTATGAAATTAAATTAACCCCCCCCCCACTTCGAGACTGGTCTAGATCCTGCAATTATGACAATTTTTTACATTGATTTATTTAAGACTATAATACATCACGATGGTCTCAAATCAATACTAAGTCCGAAATTTCGAATTTTTACTTTTTTCCATCTAAGTAAATTAATTTAGAACAAAATTTTAAAAATAATAAAATAACCACGTTACTCGTAATAGGATATTTACTTGTCAACATTATTTATCAAACAATTAATTGGCTTTATTAAGCAATCAAGACAGTTTCATGTTCCTCTTCTAAAATGTTTAATTTGGACATACGAGGTATTGATTTGAGACCATCGATTAGCCAATTACATGTATGCGGCAGTTCACTTAATCTAGGTTGGATTAAAAAAAAAAATAATAATTCATTACCAGAGTACCATATCAAAGATTTATGTGAAACGGCAATGTGAATGAAGTTTGTCAAAAAGGTTGGATTAAAAAAAATTAATTCATTACCAGAGTAACGTATCAATGATTTATGCGAAAAGTCAATGTGAAATTTGTAAAAAAAGTGACGAAAAATGAACAAACATTGTTTTGGCTATAAAACAAACATTTTAAATACAGAAACGAATCGACTTCATCTTATGAAAACAAAGCAAATGTTGTTTATAAAAGTTCTGTTTATATTGTTAAATAATCTTTCCAAATACCACGCGAGGTGAGATTTTTTTTGATAACATTTTGTTGTTTCCTTACAAATTATGCAAATATCGTGAAATTTAGACGCATAATTTCCAAAGAAACAAGAAAATGTATTCAAAAAATTATCACCGCTTGCAGTATACGATTAACCACATTTTGTGTACTAACCTTCCAGTAGATAGTAAAACACATGATAATTCCTTTCGTAACGACCTTGTGAGCATATTCTAGATTTTTCCAAAAGGTATTTTTGAACCACAGCCCCATGAACCATGCCATTCTCCTTGTAGTTGACTTGGATGAATTTACCAAATCGACTGAAAAGAAAAATTAATAAATTTAAAAATATTGTTTAATATAAATATATTTCGAAATATAGTATATTACATTACGAGTGTGGAAAGTGACTTTTCACACAAGTGATGTACAATATTTTTCCTACGATCACAAAATAATTTCATAAAAAAATGTAAAACCAGGTTATTATTATAATAATAATTAAAATGTATTTAAAAAAATAATCAACAATAATTGTATTTATTCAATTTTCATATTTTCTATAAAAAAAAAATAAAATTTAAACGCGGTCGCTCGCCAGTTCTCAAATGGCAAAGTTGATAAAGTATGATACTCTACCACCTGAGCTAATAGGCCTTGCGTCAATTGAATGATCTAATCGGTTATGTGTTTAACCAGAATAAAAAGCAAACATAATTAGTTATTTTAAAATTATTTTAATAATAATTGTTAAAGATAAATATCTAGGATCTAATTTACAATTTCAATAATTTAACAATTAATATAGAAACTTATAACTCACACATGGCTACCACCTTCAACTTTAATTAATATAGACATTACATAGATCAAAATAGAAATGATGCGTTTGACATTTTGTGACAGCTGTTGCGGAAAGTAGCATATTCGCACACGGGTGGAAAGTAAATTCTTATTTATACGCGTGTGATATAGGGCACTTTCCATATGACTATATAGTGTGATATGTATCACTTTCCTAAGTGGTCGTAGGAAAAAACATTATTAGACCATTTTAAGAAATTGAACATAAACATATCTGAAAATATATCATTCAAAAGAGAAAACCTGTTTAAAATTTGCATTTTCCTAGTGTTTTTGTGTTCATCGACATGTTTGAGTGAGTTTTATGTTTTTGTTTATTATAAATTTTTATTTTTAATATTATGTATGGCTGTGTCTTCTTGTTCATATTTTTCTTTTATATCACACCTTCTGTTTGTTTTTTAAAAATGTGCTTTAAGTTTTTTTTTTTTTAATTTCAGTTCTTGTGACGTCATGGCTTACTTCCTGTTTTTCCGGAAATAACGAAAATCGAAATTTTTTTATTTTTAAATGGAAATCTTTTTTTTTTATTGTAAATTTAAATTTCTGGTACATTTTTTTTATAATAATCGTGTATTGAAAATTTTATGTCAGCTGTCAAAATGGCCGCCATATTGGATAATATTTTTTCTAAACATGTTACTATTAATTCGTTTATGGAAAAAAATATAGGAATGTACGATCTTTATTAAGATCTTTGTAAGCTTCAAAATTCCCATTGAGACCCATTTACCAGTGGCGTATTTAAGCATTTTTATTATTAGCAAACCGTTTAATAATTCCATCCTCTTTTATCTTCATTGTTGAGATATTGGAATGAAAATATTTTTGTTTAAAAGCTTGGAACAAATACTGTATATACTGGATTCAATTGGTGTGTGACGTCATGGCTTACTTCTGGTTTTTCGGAAATAACAGAAAATCTCAATTTATTTTGTATTTTTAAATAGAAACCCCCTTTTTTATTGAAAATTTGAATTTCGGGGACATTTATGAAAAAGAATCATGTGTTGAAAATTTTCTGTCAGCTGTTAAAATGACCATCATATTGAAAAATATTTCGTTTAATATGTCACAGAAAATTTTTAATGCACCTGCGAAGTCTTGCATCTAATGTAATATCTAGATATTTAACTGAGTTATCATAATGAATCTGAGGCATTATTTATATTAATTGGTATTTGTTGGCCATTTTTGTTAGTAAAATAAAAATTAACAAATTTGGTTTTGTTTAGTTTAATACGCCATCTTTTGGTCCAGTTATTTATTTGATTAACTGATGTTTGTAGTTTATTTGCCTATCGCTAGTATGACAGTATCATCTGTAAATGCAGTTATTGTGTAGTTGGGGTATGTCACAAAGTTATAACAGATACAAAATGGGTCCTAGAACGCTTGTCTGCAGTACTCCTGCTTTAATTTCTTTCATTTCAGAATAAGCCTCATCTTGTTTTACTCTAAAGAATCTATATGATGTGTATAAATCCAGTAGCTCTGAGTATGGCTGTGGAAGTAACACATTCAGTTTATGTTTTAAGCCATCATGCCATACTTTATCAAAATCCTGCACAACATCGAGGAAGACAGCTGAACAGGCTTCTTTGTTTTCTAATACTTTTTCAATTGTATTTGAAATTCTATGAACCTTATCTACAGTTGAATTGTTTTCTCTAAAGCCGAATTGATAACCTGGAATTAGTTTCCTTTCTTCAATGATGGGTTATTAGTATTTTTTCAAATAGTTTCGATAATATAGGCCTATATGACGAAACTTTGCAGTTTTTCCTGGTTTGGGGATCATAATGATTTTAGCTACTTTTCACAACCTAGGAACATACTTTAGTTTAAAACAGGTGTGTAATTTTAATTATGGCTTTCTTCGGAAGTTGTTTTAAAATTTCTGTAATTAAATCAAAACCAGGAGCTTTTTTAAGATCAATATTTGTTTTTATATTCGTTGCACATTTAGGTGAAGCATTTTTCGGTTTTGCACAATTTACAGGTAAATGTTTCCCTGTACATCTTATTCATCGAGGCTGTTTTTTGAACAAAATGCAAATTTAGTTCAGGTCATTAAATACAGGGTGTGCCATTTAAAATAATAATCTTAATCAATTACATATTGTGTAAGTCGAGTTCAATTACATTAAATGAGCACCCTGTATTATGTAATGGAAAAATTTTGCATTTTATTCGATAGTCTAATGTTTTGGCTACGCGTACCGCGGGTGATGGTTGATGTGTTTTAAATAACCACGACAAACTAGATAATGTTGTTCAAGCTTACAAATTAAGAATCCTTTAAAAAATTCAAAAAAGAAAAGAGATATAGAACACATTACAGAAATTTTATTTTTACCGTGGTATCAAAAGACACCATCAAATATAGGGTGTTCCATTTAAAAAACATTACTTTCAAATAGTTTCTTATTTTTTTAACACCCTGTATAATCCAAATTATTTTTAATTTGTAGTATAGTGTATGTCCCTATTAGAAATAAAATTTAAAGGTAAGCCGTTTTCCCTGCGGAGATCGACGTGGCGCGTATAGGATGCGCTACCCTGTATATATAATTGATATTTAAATCATTAGTTAAAGCTTGATTTGTAAAGAAAATATTGACCCTAGTTAATTGAGAATCAAAAGTTGCATTCGGTTGATTATTTCAACACAGCCGATACGGTTATGTAGTACTTTATAAACAAATGTACAAAATCTGGTATTTACCTTCGGTTTTCTAAACTAATTAAATTGAGATTAGATCGAACCTGTTGCCTTGCAGCAATGTGAGCCTGGAATTTCCTTTGGCATTAAGAAATAAATTTGCATGTAGATTTGATAACATGGACTCCAAATTATAGAGTTGTACTTACATGAGAACACTATTTACATAAGCCATATACCTACAAAGTTTTGACTTAGAATTTAAAATCCTAAGTTATTTCCAATAATTTTATCTAGACTGAAGAATAAAGATAATGTAAGAATGTTTTATTACATTATTTCCGGTAAAACGTATATTTAGCTAAATTTAAAGATACATGGTTTTTGATAATAATCAGGTAGTGTATCCAAATCTTTTATAGATAAAATTATCTCGTGCTTATTTGATAGCGCATGGAATTTTAGTTAATAATAAATAGATTTATTTAATAGGTATTATTGACGATTTGTATCGAGATTGATTAAAACAAGGAATTAAAAAAAAAATGACTTATCTCGCAAAGCATGCCTTGTATAAATTGTCCCAATTACTGATCCCTGAGGAACTCCTCTATGGTCACAGATCGATTGGTGAAGTAAATTCCGTTTCTTCAGGAATGTCATTAATCATCTAACACTGCCAATTAAAATTTATAACCAACTAAGCGTTGTTACCCGTAAAAATCATAAACTCATAAATATATAATAATTGTTTTCAAATAAATCAATTGCCCGCCGCATTCTATAACTATCCAGCGTGGCTTTAAATTGAAAATAAAAAAAAAGAGACCGGAATAAAATTTCTTGAAAATTAATGATAATTCTAACATGACATGAATACGTTGGTTAAGTGGCTATACTAACCAATATTCAGAGGCAGTCAAACGTGATTAAAATATTAAAATCATATAGTAGTATGTGCCCATCAATGAACAGTTAACTTTAAACGGAAAACTTATTGCACAAGAACAAGACAATTTATACGGGGTCTTCCAACTTTGAACAAATTTAAACTAGCAAATAAGTGTTTAACAGTTAAGGAAGACGGAATAGTATATTATGTACCAAGGGACTAAAGTGCCACTTTTAATCCCGAGAGGGATTAAAACGCACTTTAGTCTCGTGGTACATACGCTATTTTTTGTACCGCGGGGACTAAAACTTAGAAATTTACACGATAATTATGTGAAAAGAAACACTCAATATTTCCTTCTTTTACGAATAAACTTCAATGTCCTCGTTGACAGTTCCTTTTATATAGGCAACACATTATACGTAAATCAAGTAGGTATACACTAAATGTGTAACAGCCCACCCCCGGTACCCCCTATTTTTGTTCGTTGTTTTACTCTCTGAGATGTTTTTATTTACCTTACAAGTTTATTTTGCTTTGATTCTACACTTACTGTATTTGGCCTTTTTCCTCTAGTAGTAAAAGTGATCGTCTAGTTAATTAATTGATAATTTATATACACACGTTGTGATAATGTTAATTAAGGTAAACCAGGATTCGATGCAAAGTTTGGTGCAAATTGATAAATAAACCCAGACAAATTAATATTTAAACTCTTTTATTTTTCATACTTTAAGTGTGATGCAATAATTAGCAAAGTAATATTACAATTGGTACTATTTACTGAGATCTCACTTGAGCCCTGTTCAAACGAAGACCATATTCATTTGCAATCAATATATATTTTATTTAGGTTGGGGACCAACGGTGCTAACGAACAGCGTCAATTCACCAGTTGG